TAACTTTTTTAAAATTCAGATTAATATTGTGGTCCAAATTATCAATCAATGACTGTCCACCGGTCGCCTGCTTTCTTTAATTCCTTCACTGCTAAAATAATATAATTTTAAAATATTTTTATTTAATTTTTTATAAATATAATTGATAAATATTAATTTTTAATTTTACAATATTTTTTTCTTAACTTTTTTAAAATTCAGATTAATATTGTGGTCCAAATTATCAATCAATGACTGTCCACCGGTCGCCTGCTTTCTTTAATTCCTTCACTGCTAAGATGTTAGTGCTCCTGCAGACCCACGTTGGTCCAGTGGTGGCCACGTTACTTTTAGCCAACACGTGGATTACACCCAATTTTTAGGGTCAATAGGTTAGCTGCACCTACTTGTAAGGTTCAACCCTCTCACATCACAACAATATTAAGTTATTAACACTTACCGAACCATTTCTTACCCTTTTTTTTTTTGGGTAAAGAGAAGATATATTAATAAGAAATGGTTCAACACATACGGGGAAACTCAATTCCCATCATATCAGCAATACAATACTGCTTAACAGAAAAAGGAATGCTTTCAAAAGTGACAAAATCCTGATCAATGCCATGTCCGAGCTTTGCCATCTGATCGGCAGCCATATTAGACTCGCGGACAACGTGTTTGAGCTCAGCATGATGGATTAGTTGAAGCAACTCCCTGCAATCAAAAATTAGAGGGCTGAGATTGTGAGAGGGAGGCGGGGGCTCATGAAGAAGGTGGATAGCAACAAGAGAGTCAGATTCCACTATAATATGAGAAAAGTTATGCATAATAGCCAGTTGTAATCCGTCTCTAATAGCCCAGAGTTCCGCTGCAAGGCAGTTAGACCAGTCGATTTTCCTAGCATAACCCAACTTCCAGTTGCCATGATGGTCTCGAAATATACCCCCAGCAGCTGAAATACCTGGATTTCCTTTAGCCGACCCATCCGTGTTCAGTTTGATGACATTTGGGGGAGGTTTAGCCCATTTAAAATTCTCCTCATGATAGGTACGAGAAGCTTTTGGGATTATAGATGCCCAAAATTCAGCAGCTCTTTCCGTAATAGTGCTACGCAGAATATTGAGCTGGTATGGGTGGGGGGAATGAACAGTTTGGTTACGATGGAGCCAAATTCCCCAAATAGCAGAGCAAAACAAAATGTTCCAAGGGATGTTCATCACTTCAGACTTGAGCGTACAATGACAGTTAAATTTAAGCCAAGAAATGAAGTCCAGATCTTGCTGCTGCTGCTGCTGCTGCGATGGGGAATTAGGGAAAAGATCATGGAGGATAACAGTTGAGGAAGGACAACGCCGGATAAGATGCTCCACTGTTTCCTCCTCATTGCGACAGCGAGGACAAGTAGCAGTTGTAGAAATGCTTAGATGATGCAAGAAGCTAAAGCATTTGAGTCTTTGGTGAGCCAACAGCCAAAAGAAATGTTGGATTTTTGGGATGGTTGGAAGCTTCCATATCCAATCCCAATCTTTGTTAACGCAAATAGAATGGTTTTTAAGGAGGTAGTAAGCAGAAGCAGCAGTGAATTCACCTCTGGGAGTTCCCTTCCAAGCAAAGGAGTCTTCTCTTTCACTGACAATAGAGCGAGGAGTAGCTTTGAGCTTATTGGAGATCTCATCAGGGAGAGAGTAGGAGATAAGGTCTGGGGCCTGCCCACCTGCAGTGAAAAAATCAGAGACAGTGATAGATTTGTAATCCAATGGGTGGGGACCATACACCATAGAAGCGAGAGGTATCTCTGTAGCCCAGCAATCAGTCCAAAAGGAAATGTTGGCGCCTGTATGAGGCACCCATTTCAGACCTGAACTGAAGAGATCAAAGCCCTTAGTTATAGCTTTCCATGCAGGAGATCCAGTGGCAACTGGTCTGTTGTGACACTCCTAAATGTTATATTTAGATCTAAATATGCTACTCCAGACTTTATCCTTCTCCTGATGAACTCTCCAATTAAGTTTACACATAGCAACAAGGTTAGCCTCTTTCGCACTTTTTAGTCCAAGACCCCCCAAATGCTTTGGGCTAGATACGATGTTCCAATTGACAAGGTGAATCTTCCTTTGCTCAGCCTCTGATTCCCAAATAAAGTTACGAGAGATCTGATCAATTTCCTTTTGGATAGAGGCTGGAAGCAGGGCTGATTGCATATAGTAGTTTGGGACAACAGCCAAGACTGATTTAGCGAGAGTAGTCCGTCCTGCAAAGGAAAGGGATTTAGACTTCCAGCCAGAGAGTTTAGCACGAACTTTGTCAATAATGAATTGCCATTTGCTTCGGGAAAGTTTCTTGGCTGAGATAGGGACACCTAGGTATTTTCCCAAGTCTTCAGTTTGGGAAAATCCAAGAATGGAGCAGAGATTATCTCGGACAGCTTGGCCAACGTTTTTGGAGAAAAACATCTTAGATTTGAGATTGTTAATCTTTTGGCCAGATCTCTGACAAAAGGATTGAAGGACATCTTTAAGATGAAGGCAATTGGCTGCTGTAGCTTTGCCAATGAAGATGATGTCGTCAGCAAAGAAAATATGAGAGAGAGAAGGACCCCTTCTCCCACATTTGGTGCCTTTCCATAGTCCAGCCTCCATGTCAACAGAGATTCTTATGGAAAGGTACTCCATACAAAGGATAAAGATGTATGGTGAGAGTGGATCTCCTTGCCGAATTCCTCGAGCTGAATTCCTCGAGAAGGGTAGAACTCATCAGTTTTTTCTCCATTGATAAGAATGGAGATTGATGTAGAGCTGATGGCAGACATGATAAGTTTAACAATATCAAGGGGAAACTGAAAGTATAGGAGAGTTTCATAAATGAAACTCCATTCCAGCCTATCAAAGGCCTTCTCAAGGTCAAGTTTACAGATCATATCTCCTGTTTGTCCAGTTTTTTTCGAGAAGGAGTGAACAAGCTCTTGAAGGATCAGGATATTATCAGTGCCTTGCCTGCCAGGGATAAAGCTGGATTGGCCTGGAGAAATAATCTTGTCCATCCAGGGCTTAATCCTATGAACAAGAATCTTAGATATGATTTTGTAGATAGTATTGCATAGGCTTATAGGCCTGAATTGATGAATATGCCCAGGAGATTGCAGTTTGGGGATGAGAACAAGTAAGCACTCATTCCATTTAGGGGGGATGCACCTAGTAAGAAAGATATTCCTAACTTCACAGCTAATCTTCTCCCCAATAAGAGGCCACATACGTTTATAGAAGAAGGGGTGAGTTCCATCAGGTCCCGGAGCCTTAAAAGAGTTCAGAGAGTTAACAGCATCCCAAATCTCTTTATTGCTGGGGCAACCCCTGATGGAATCAAGACAATAAGAAGGCTGAAATTGCCTTTGAAGTGATTCATATGAGTCGGAGAATGAGTGGGTATGAGAAGTGTTGAATAATTCCGCGAAGAAATTGATAGCAATGGATGCAAGACCACTGCCATAAGTGATCCAACTACCTTGGCTATTGAACAAGCCAAAAATCCTGTTTCGAGATCGATGTTTTAGAGTAGTGACATGGAATAACCTAGTGTTTTTGTCACCATCAGCAATCCAATCAGTACGAGACTTCATGAACCAGAGATCCGCCTCCCAATTAAGAATATCATTATATTGTTGGAGAAGATCCCTTTCTAAGTTCCAAAGGAAGGATGAAAAGTTATAAGCATGAGACTTTTGGATGCCCTCAATGCGAGCAAGGAGTTTTTTCTTCCTTTTAAAGATATTACCGAAAGTAGCTAGGCTCCATGCTTTAGCACGGTTCATAGTAAGCTCAACACTTTTAGCAGTATTAGTGTTGGTGTCAACCCAAACTTGATGAATGATGTTTTGGAAGTCAGGGTGATCAATCCAAAATTTTTCCAGCCGGAAGGGGCGAGAACCAGATCGAGGGCATGAGGGATTAAGATCAAGTAAAATTGGGCAATGATCAGAGTGAGTATGAGGTAGGTGAAAGAGGGAGGCTTCAGGAAAGCTAAGTTTCCAATCAGGGTTAGCCCAAGCCCTATCAAGCCTTTCTTGGATCAGTTGATTGGAGAACCGCATGTTGGCCCAAGTAAAGCGGTTTCCAATAAAACCGAGGTCAACCATATTGCAATGATTCATGCAATCAAGATAGGCCCTGGCACGGGTTTGAGGAATTTCATTCTTTCCAAATTTTTCACTCTGATCCACTACGTCATTAAAATCCCCAATAATCATCCACGGACCCTAGATGATATTAGCCATGGCAGAAAGCTCTTGCCATAACAAGTTTCTGATCTCAAACTGAGGCTTACCATAAATGCCAGAAAAATACCAATTAAATGGACATAAGGGATTATTACTAACCTGGATAACTGCATGAATTGCTTGGTTGTTGGCTGAGAGAATATCCACCGAGAGTCTAGAGTCGTCCCACAGCAGCCATAAGCCTCCAGCTAGACCATATGAGTTGACAATGCAAGACTTGGGGAAGCCGAGAGAATTAGCTACCTCTTGAGCATCAGGACAAGAAATTTTTGTTTCAAGAATAAGGAGCATAGCTGGGTTGTGAATCCTTATAAGATCCGTGACACTTTTCCGGAATCCTGCTTTGAGTGCCCCCCGGCAATTCCATGAGATAATCTTCATAGACCAATCAAGAGTGGTTGATAGCCCCAATGCTATCTGGGCCCTCAACGGGTTGAACACCGGCAGTAGGGATTGGAATGTCCATGAGAGGAACCTGGCTAGGGGAAAATGATATGGTAGGAAAAGGATTTGGAAGTCCCTCTCGGTGTGGGTCTCTAAAGACCACAGGGTTTTTAGTATTAGGAGAATGTGTTCCATTTTCCCCTCTAGCTGGACGATCTTCAGGTGGTTTTGGTAAGCATAGCTTGTCAAAAGAAGTGGCTTGATAAGGCTCAACTC